CAAAAGTGTGGGGCTCCTTTAGGGTCATATAACCCAGCCTTCCCCCTGACTTCTCACAGAACGTTTTCTTCCCTCAGGCAGAGGCAGGAAGAGCTACGCTCAGGCTGCCTGGAAGTCTGGGTGTTGGGGAGGTGACATCTGGGACCCTTGGGAGAGTATGGGCTGGAGTCTGTGAGGGGGGCTCCCCCACTCCGTAACTCTGCTGTTGTGTCTTCCCCAGGCAGCGACAGTGCCCAGGGCTCTGATGTGTCTCTCACAGCTCCTAAGGGTGAGACCCTGAGGGCAGGAAGTGGGGGTCTTGGGACCGAGGGGCACAATTGGGTTTTGGGGACTCTCAGAGTGGGACATTCTGAGGATGCGGTGGGCTGTGGGAGAATGTGACACTCCTGAGAATGACCTAAGTTTGTTCATGACAACTTTCTTTCCCAGTGTGACAGAGCTGCCTTGTAGGGGACTTGGTGCTAAAACAGTCATTGCAGCCTCCCCTTGGGACTTTAAGGATCCCTGACTGCTGTTTCTGCAACCAACATCAGAATGTGCCTGTGTTCTTATAAGCATCATGTGAGGAGGTGGTCACCAGACCACTCATCCCACAGGGACCTGTGTCCTCTCCCCTGGGGCCTGTCCTGTCCTGTCCTAGCAGAGTTGGGGTGAGACCATCCCCATCCTGCTCATTCCTCAGCTGGGTTATCTCTATTGCTCCTTTGTCTTTGCTCCTTTAGGAGAGCCTTGTGCCACCAGGACCTGAGATCCTAGGGACTTGAGGGTCACCCAGGGCTTGTGATGACTCCAGGACTGTGCTCAGTGAGGGCTTCCTGTGGCCACATCAGCCTGAGCTCAGGCCTGGGTCTGTCCTCAGCCTGTATCTTTTGGTTATTTGCTGTTTCTTTGTTATTATAGATACTGTAACTATTCTGGCTTTTTAAAAATAAAAGCATTGGAGTGTTTCTATTAAATTATTGGGGTGTGTCTTGTTAAATGTATTGTGTTTGCATTGTGTAATAGGTCACATAGATTTCAGGTGCACATTTCTACGATATAGGATCTGTACATTGCACTGGGTGCCCACCACCCAAAGTCAAACCATCTTTCCTCACCAGGTACTAGGCCCCTCCTCCCCAACCCCCTTCCCTCTGGGAACCACCACACTGCTGTCTGTGTCCATGAGTTTCAGGTTTATGTCCCACGTGTGATTGAAATCATATGGTTCTTAATTGTTTCTGACATATTTCACTTAGCATGATATTCTCATGGTCCATCCACATTGTTGCAAAGGGAAGTATTCTCTCTTTTCCTATGGCTGAGTAGGTTTTGTGTATGAGTTTTCATCACATTCTCTCTGGGTGTCCCCAACTGACAGCAACAGGAGACATTTTGCCTGTCATTGTCCCCACATGACCAGGGTGACCCCTGCACTCAGGAATCTGTGGTGTCGAGAGGTGAAATTTCAGACTCATCCTGCTCTTACCTCCCTGGGTGTGATTGTTCTCCCACCTTTTCCCAGCCTCCTCCAGGGAACCGGGTTCTGGAATCAGCAGAGAGCAGAGGGCCTGTAATGTCTCATCTCAGACACGTTCCTGCTGTGATTCTGCTCTGCTCAGCCGCCATCTCCCCCAGCCCTTCGCTCTAGCGGGGGCCCTAGTACAAACTCAGGGATTCGCAGAGCAGAGGCCCCTGCAGGTTTAGAGGGGCAGCACCGTGGGGATGTGTGGGGACATCGATGGCAGCATGAGTGCAGGTTGTAGTGTTACCACAGCACAGCTGGTAGCTGGGGCCACATCAATAAAGACACTGTCACTACAATAGGGAGGTGTCCTGGAGTGATGAGTCATTCAACCAGTGCTTTTTGAGTACTGGATAGACGACACACCATTTTTACATCTGGAATACAGACATACATGGGAGATATTTCGGGTCCAGGTCCAGACCGCTGAATAAAGCAAATATTGCAATAAAGGGAGTCACACAAAGTTTTTGGCTAAAAGTTAGGCTTATGCTGGACTGTAGTCTCTTAAGTGTTAATAGTGTTATGTTTTAAAAATGATGTACATGCCTTAATGAAAATATACTTCATTGTAAATTTTAAAAATTAACTATCATTTGAGACTTTAGGGAGTCATAATGTTTTTGTAGGTGGAATGGCTTACCAGCAATATATATTTTTTAAGATCTTATTTATTTATTTTTAGAGATGGGGAATGGGAGGGAGAGAAACAAAGATGTGCAAGACACACATGGAGATAGGCTGCCTCTGGGGGCCAGGCATGTGCCCTGACAGGGAACTAACCCAGTGACATTCCTGTTTCTGGGACACATGCAACCCACTGAGCAACACTGCTCAGGGCACCTTCAATTTCAAGAAGAAAACAAGATGGTCCAGCCCAGGTAGCTGTGTTGTAACGACGTCTCATCCATGAAAAGTTTGTGAGGGCAATTCCTGCTCAGGACACATACCTAGGAGTGGTATCAACCCCTGTTCAGGGCACAATGGGAGGCAACTGATCAATTTTTCTCTCACACATGAACATTTCTCCCTCCCTTCCTCTCGCTCTAAAAACAATGAGAAAATTCACTGGGTGAGTATTAGAAAAAAAACTATTACATTACAGGGAAACAGTGAAGATTAGATGAAGCACAGGATCAAATCAGCAATTTGGAAGATACAAAATCAGATCACACACAAAAAAAAATCCAAAAAAGGAGGCTAGCATAAGGAGCCTCTGGGACAACTTCAAGCACACCAACGTTGGGGTGCCAGAAAGAAAAGAGAGAGCAAGGAACTGAAACCCGATTTCAAAACATGATGACTTAGAAGTTCCCTATTTAGTGAAGGAAATAGACATGCAAGTCCAGGAAGTGCAGAGTCCCAAACAAGATGAACCTGAAGAGGCCCACACTGAGACACATCATAAAATGGCAAAGGTTAAAGCCAAAGGGTGAATCTTAAAAGCATCGACATAAAATCAGTTAGCTACCTACAATGGAGCTCCCATAAGACTGCCAACTGACTTTATAACAAACACTTTTCAGGCCACTGGAGATTGGCAAATGATCGTCAAAGTGGTGAAGAGCAAGGACATACAACCAGAAAAACTGGTTGTAGGCTACTATTTGGAATTAAAGGTTACTACTATTTGGAATTAAAGGTCAGATAAAGAGCTTCCCTGATGAAAAAACTAAAAGAGTTCCTCACCCCCAAACCAGTATTACAAGAAATGTTAAATGGTCTTCTTTAAGAAAAAAAAATATATAAATATGAATAGTAAAATGACCATAAATACACATCTATCAACAATTACTTTAAATGCAGTGAAAGATTTGCTCTAGTCGAAAGACGTGTGGTGGATGAAGAGATAGGAAAACAAGACCCTCGCTCGTGCTGTCTTCAAGAGACTCCATTTGGATTGAGACACAGACACAGACTGGAAGTGCAGGGATGGAAAGACACACTTCATAGCAATGGAAACACACAAACAAAAACAGCTGGGGTAGCAAAACCTATACCAGGCAAAATAGACTTTAAAACAAAGGCTATATAACAAGAGACATGAAGGAACCAGCCAGTCCACTTCTGGGTATTTAAGAAAACCCAAAACACGACATCAAAAAGACATACACATCCATGTGTTCATTGCAGCATTATTTACAAAAGCCAAGATATGGAAACAACCTAAGTGTCCTTCAGTAGGTAAGTGGATAAAGAAGAGTAGCTGCATATATACAATGGAATATGACTCAGTCATTAAAAAAAAAAGAATGAAATCTTACCATTGGCAACAACATGATGGAGGGTATGGTGCTGAGTGACATATGTCAGACAGAGAAAGACAAACACCAGGTGATTGCACTTCTATGTGGAATATGAAAAATAAAGTCATCAAGCAGAACAGACACGGACTCACAGATACAGAAAACAGAGTGATAGTTGCCAGATGGTATGGGACTGCAGGGACTGGGAGAAAAAGGTGAAGGGAGTAAGAAGGACACACTGGTCATTACAGAACAGTCACGAGGAAGTAAAGTGCAGCACAGGGAATACAGTCATTAATACTGTAATAAGTACATATGGTGTCAGGTGGTTACTGGGTTTATTGGGGGCGATCACTTTGTAAGATATATAAACGTCTAATCACAGAGTTGCACACATGAACCCAACATTGTACATCAACTGTAATTGAACAATAAAAAAGTTTAAAAAGAAGATAAGTATGTCTTGAGTTCATTATACAAATGGATTCATTTCTTAACTGTCCTTAATGAAAATGGAGAATAAAACATAAAATATTTCCCATGATGACTGGGAAAGTGCACAAACACACTTCTGCTACATTCATTCCCAAATGCCATGAGCCCAGGAAAGTGACCTGTGAGGGCTGAGTCAGCCTCTTCCTCACAGAACAGCAAGTTCACTTAAGAGAATGAGAGACACAGAACCTGTGATGACTGAGGTGTGGTGAATTGGCGAACACGCTCTCAAATGAACGTGAGCTTCTCCCTCATGGAGAGTCAACGAGCAGTTGACCCTGACAGCACTTGTCTGGATGGAATGGAAGCCCTCAGGGGAAAACCAGGATTCTGGCAAATGTGTGTCTCCCCACGGCAGCCAGACAGCTTCCCAGAGCTGACAACCGTTTCTAGTGGGGTCTGCGGTAACGTTAACAAATGTGATTTTTTGGTATGTGTAATTAAATGCATCAACACTGGGAGATGTCCATGACTTAATGAAACAATGCATCACTTTCAAACTTTCAAATAATCCCGCATCAGTACAAGAGTTACTCAAGTAATGTAACAGGCATGGCTCTCAGGACTTCGGCCTGAGGACAGAGTCTGAGGCAGTTAAAGCTCACTATTGCAGAGCCCCTCTGCACGAGGTGTTTTTTGTTTTGTTTTGTTTTTTCACCTTCTCACAACCTGCGTCAGGTCCTACTTCCTGGATACTCATGACGCTTCCTCAGTTCTCACTCCCATTGGGTTGTTTCAGGAATCTAGACTAGCCAATCAGCGTCACCGTGCCCTGCTAGACAGAGCTCACTGGCTACCAGAACACATTCTCCCCAAACCCTCAGGGTCTGGGTCATGGGACCTCGAGCCCTGGTGCTGCTGCTCTCGGGGGCCCTGGCCCTGACCGAGACCTGGGCGGGTGAGTGTGGGGTCCGGAGGGAACAGCCTCTGCGGGGCAGGAACGAGGGGGCCGGCGAGGGCGTAGGAACCCAGCACTGCGTGACTCCAGTGCTGGGGCCCAGACCCGCAGACCGACTACCGCCCCCATCCCGCCCCTCCTCTTTCCACCCCACCTTCCGCTTCTGGACCCTTTACTGTCTCCCGCACCCCCTGCCCCTATGGGATGACCCAGGGCGCGCGTCCTCCCTGCCCGGCAGACACTCACACCCTGAGATACATCAGCACCGCTGTGTCCGGACCGGGCCGTGGAAAGTCCCGGTACGTCGTCGTCGGCTATGTGGACGACACGGAGATCGTGCGGTTCGACAGCGATGCTGCGAGTACCAGGCTGGAGGCGCCCGCACCGTGTTCCGAGCGGCCGTGGTCGGAGCAGGAAAAGCCGTACTATTGGTACCATCGGTCAAGGTTTTGCGCGCACAACGCACAGATCAACGAAGGGAACCTGAACAAGCTGCGAGCCTACTTCAACCAGAGCGACAATGGTGAGCCACGCCCGCCCGGATCCCGGCATGAACCCCATCCCCAAGATCGGGCCGCCGTCACAGGGAGGCTGCCCGTCCTGGCATCACCCGCGGCTGTGGGGTTCGTCCTGCCCCAGCCCCGGAGGAGCCCCCGGAGGTTTTTGAAAGATTTATTTGTTTTTAGAGAGAGGAAGGGAGGCAGAAAGAGAGGGAGAGAAACACGAAAGTGTGGTTGTCTCACGCGCGCCCCCTACTGGGGACCTGGCTTGCAACCCAGGCATGTGCCCTGACTGAAAATCAACCAGAGACCCTTTGATTCGCAGACCCGCACTCAATCCACTGAGCCACACCAGCCGGAGCTGATTTTCAATAATCACCGTGGGTCGGAGCTGGACAAGTGAGGGCAGGTTAAGTGGGCAGGACTGACCTCAGAGAGGGGTTAGTGTCTCACACCTTCCAGGCAATGAGTGGCTGCACCCTGGGGCCAGACGGGAGCTTCCTTCGCGGGTACACGCAGTTCGCCTACGACGGCACGGACTTCATCGGCCTGAATGAGGACCTGCGCTCCTGGACCGCGGCCCAGGACACCTGGCGCAAGTTGGTGCAGGTCCCTGATGCGGACGTCAGGAGGTTCTTCCTGGAGGACACATGCGTGCGCCGGCTCCAACTGTTCCTGGAGAAGGGGAAGAAGATGCTCCTACCAGCAGGTACCAGGGCGCAGGCAGCCCGGGGAGGGGATCTGTGGGCTGGGGCGGCTTCCTGCAAGGAGGAGGAAAATGGGGCAGTGTCAGAATGGCCCTCCAGCTCAGGAGAGGGAAGGTCCCAAAGTTTCTTTCTTCTGTGACTCACCCAGGAGGTCAGCTTTTTCTAAAGGACAGTAAGGGATGCAGTCTCTCCCTGAAACACCCCACAGCAGTTCCCTTACATCCTGCAGCACCTGGTGCACCAGGATGCTCTCTATGGTTCTCCACTGAGACCTTCTCTGGAGGCCTAACTCCCGCTTTTCTGAGCCATTCAGCCCCCACCTGAGTCTGTGTCTCCCCTTAATGACCTGTACACTCCTACCCTAGGTTCTCACCCTGATTCTGGAAATTTCCAAGAATAGATTATCCCAGATGTCTCTGTCCAGGCTGGTGTCTGAGTGTTGCTCTCCCTTCCCCCACCCTGCTGTCCTGTCCACTCTCAGGGTGGTCACATGAGCACTGCTGGAGTGTCCCATGACTATGCAGAGTTCCTGATTTTTCTCACCCTCCCCTCAGATCCTCCAAAGATACACGTGACCCACCACACCATCTCTGACCATGAGGTCACCCTGAAGTGCTGGGCCCTGGGCTTCTACCCTGCGGACATCACCCTGACCTGGCAGCGTGATGGGGAGGACCTGACCCAGGATGTGGAGCTGGTGGAGACCAGGCCTGCTGGGGATGGAACCTTCCAGAAGTGGGCAGCTCTGACTGTGCCCCCTGGAGAGGAGCAGAGATACACGTGCCATGCACAACACCAGACAATGCCTGAGCCCCTGACCCTGAGATGGGGTGAGGAGGGGGCATGGACACAGAGCCTCTCCTCAGGGCATCCCTGAGCAGGGTCAGGACTCAGGCCTGAGGTTGACCTCTCACCTTCCCCTCACAGAGCCCTCTCCTCAGACCACCATCACCATTGTGGGCACCGCTGCTTTTCTGAGTCTCCTTGGAGCTGTGGTCACTGGAGCTGTGCTATGTTGGAGGAAGTGCTCAGGTGGGCAAGGGGTGGGGCTGAGTTTCCTATTCCCCTGGGGGTCAAGCCCAGCTGGAAGTGTGCTCTGCCTGATTAATGGGCATCATATCCTCACACAAGTGCTTGTCCATCTGGGGCCTATTTCCTAACACAGACTCTTTAGTGAGGCCTATGGGAAAGTGAAGGACACACTTATTACCTGATGGTTCTAGTGATGGGGACTGATTCCCAGCTGTCACAGGTCAGAAGGGGAGGTCCCTGCTGAGGACAGATGTCCAGATGTCCACAAGGATCTAGGTCCAGTACCAGCCTATGTACTGTCCCTGTATTTCCTGATACTACCTTTGCTGTTCAGTCACAGTTCTGGAAACTTCCTTGTGCCTCAGGAGTGTGGGGCTCCTTTAGGGTCACAGGACCCAGCCTTCCCCCTGACTTCTCACAGAATGTTTTCTTCCCACAGGCAGAGGCAGGAAGAGTTGTGCTCAGGCTGCCTGTAAGTCTGCAGGGTGTTGGGGAAGTGACATCTGGGACCCTTGGGAGAGTGTGGGCTGGAGTCTGTGAGGGGGGCTCCCCTACCCCTAACTCTGCTGTTGTGTCTCCCCCAGGCAGCGACAGTGCCCAGGGCTCTGAGGTGTCTCTCACAGCTCCTGACGGTGAGAATCTGAGGGCAGGAAGTGGGGGACATGGGGACCGAGGGGCACAGCTGGGTTTTGGGGATTACCACAGTGGCACATTCTGAGCATGATGTGGCTGTGGGGGAATGTGACACTTCTGAGACTGACCTGAATTTGTTTGCGACAACTTTCTTTCCAGTGTGACAGAGCTGCCTTGTCCAGGACTTGTTACTAAAACAGTCTCTACAGCGTCCTCTTGGGACTTTAAGGATCCCTGACTGCTGTTTCTGCACCAGCATCGGAATGTCGTCTGCATCCTTATCAGCACCAGTGAGAAGCTGGTCACCAGGCCACTCTCCCCACAGGGACCTGTATCCTCTCCCCTGGGGACTGTCCTGTCCTAGCTGCAATGAGCTGAGACCATCCCCATCCTGGTAATTCCTCAGCTGGGTCATCTTTGTGCTTCCTTTGTCCTCACCACTTCAGGAGAATCTTGTCCCATCATGATCTGGGGTCCCAGGTACTTGAGCGTCACCTAGGCCTTGTCCTGGTGACTCCAGGACTGTGCTCAGTGAGGGCTTCCTGTGGCCATGTCAGCCTCAGCTCAGGCTTGGGTCTGGTCCTCAGCCCCCATCTTTTGGGTATCTGTGGTTTCTTTGTTTTTGTAGCTATTATGTCTACTCTTGTTTTCTAATTAAATTATTAGAGTATTTTTATTAAATTATTGGGGTGTGCTCTTATAAATTTATTGGGGGTACATTGATTAAGAAGATCATGAAGGTTTCAGGTGTACACATCTATGATACAGGATCCCTGCATTGCCCACCACCTGAAGTCAAACCATCTTCCCTCACCAGGTACTAGGCCCCTCCTCCCCAACCCTCTTCCCTCTGGGAACCACCACACTGCTGTCTGTGTCCATGAGTTTCAGGTTTATGTCCCACTTGTGAGTGATATCATATGGTTCTTAATTGTTTCTCTCTGGCTTATTTGGCTTTGCATGGTATTCTCAGGGTCCATCCATGTTGTCATGGATGGCAGTATTCCATCTTTAATTGTTTTCTTTAAGGGTTTTTTTTATTTTTATTTTTAGAGTGGAGAATGGAGGGAGAAACAGAGGGAAACATCAATGTGTGGTTGCCCCTCAAGCACCCCTTGCTGGGGACCTGGCCTGCAACCCAGTCATGTACCCTGACTGGGAATCAAACCAGCAGCCCTTTGGTTCACAGGTCAGTGCTCAATCCACTGAGCCACACCAGCCAGGGCTCTATCATTTCTTATGGTTGAGTAGATTTTGTGTATGAGTTTTCATCTCATTCTCTTTGGGTATCCTCATCTGACAGTGACAGGAGGCATTTTGCCTGTCATTGTCCCCACATGACCAGGGTGGCCCCTGCACTCAGGAATCTGTGGTGTCGAGAGAGGAAGTTTCAGACTCATCCTGCTCATACCTCCCTGGGTGTGATTGTTCTCCCACCTTTCCCCAGCCTCCTCCAGGGAACCGGGTTCTGGAATCAGCAGAGAGCCGGGGGCCTGTAATGTCTCATCTCAGACACGTTCCTGCTGCGATTCTGCTCTGCTCAGCCGCCGTCTCCCAGGCCCTTTGACCTAGTGGGGACCCCAGTGCAAACTCAGGGATTCAGAGAGCAGAGGCCCCTGCAGGTTTAGGGGGGCAGCACCATGGGGATGTGAAGGGCCTCGATGGCAGCATGAGTGTTACCACAGCACAGATGATAGCGGGGGCCACATCAATAAAGACACTGTCACTAGAACAGGGAGGTGTCCTTCAATGATGAGTCACTCATCATTGTTTTTTGAGTGTGGGGTAGATGACACACCATTTTTACATCTGGAATACAGATATACATGGGAGATATTTCCGGTCTGGGTCCAGACCACTGAATAAAGCAAATACTGCAATAATCTGAGTCATACAAACTTTTGGTTCCGCCATGCACATAACAGCTAGGCTACAATAGTCTTTCAAGTAGTAATAGTGTTATGTCTGAAAATTAATACACATACCTTCATTAAAATATACTTTATTGTTTAAAAAAATGCTAAGGTATTATCTGAGCCTTTAGTCAGTCAAAACATTTTTGCTGGTGGAAAGCCTTACCTTCAATTACTTTTTTAAATTTTTATTTATTTATTTATTTTTATAGAGGGCATGGAAGAGGGGGAGAGAGAGGGAAGAAATATCTATGTGAGAGAAAAACATCAAATAATTATCTCTTGCATGCATCCAAACAGGGACATGGCCGACAACCCACACAAGGGCCGTGACCAAGAATCAAACAGGCAACTTTCAGTTTGCAGGACATGGACCAACACACTAAGCCACACCAGTCAGGGCACCTTTGATTAAAAAGAAACCAATAGCCCTGGCTGGTGTGGCTCAGTGGATTAAGCATGGGCCTGTGAACCAAAGGGTTGCTGGTTTGATTCCCAGTTAGGGCACATGTGTGGGTTGTGGGCCAGGTCTCCATGGGGCTCTGGAGAGGCAACTGCACATTGATGTTTCTCTCCCTCTCTTTTTCCCGTACCCTCTCACTGAAAATTAGAATGCCATCCCGTACATTAGAAGGTTGCAAGTTCAATTCCCAGTCAGGGCACAAACTTTGGTTGCAGGTTTGAAACCTGGTCAGAACACGTACAGAAGGCAACTAATTGATGTTTCTCTCTCAATCCTTGTTTCTCTCTCTCCCTCCCTCTCTAAAAGCAATGAAAAAAATTTCCTCAGGTGAGGATTAAAAAATATACTCTGCAGAGTTTAAACGGAAGAGTAGATGAAGCAGAGGATCCCATCAGCAATGTGGGAGATATGAAACCAGAAAACACCCCATCTGAACACCAAAAAAAAAAGAATCCAAGAAAATGAGGATACCGTAAGGAGCCTCTGAACAACTTCCACCCACCAAGATTAGCATCATGGTAGTGCCCAAAAAAGGAAAAAGAGCAAGAAAGGGAAGTCCAATTTGAAAAAACAATGACTTAACACTTCCCTAATTTTCAAAGGAAATACACATACAAGTCCAGGAAGTGCAGAGTCCAAACAAGATGAACCCAAAAAGGCCCTCACCAAGACACGTCATGAATGAAATGGCAAAGGGTAAAGACAAAGAATTTAAAAGCACCAAGATACAAGCAGTTAGCTACCTACAATGGAGCTCCCATAAGGCTGTCAGCTGATTTCTCAATAAAAACTCCTCAAGCCAAAGGAAAGACTGGCAAGTAATATTCAAAGTGACGAACAGCAAGGACATACTACCAAGATTACTCCACCCAGAAAAGCTGTCATTTAGGATTGAAGGTCAGAAAAAGAGCTTCCCAGATGAGAAAAAGCAGGAGTTCATCACCACCAAACAAGTATTACATTAAAAGGTTCAAGTGTCTTCCTTAAAAAGGAGAAAATTAAAAATAGGAGTAATAACATGGCAATAAATACATATCTATCAAAAACTACTTTAAATGCAGGTGAATTCATAGCTCTAGTCAAAAGACATGTGGTCTCTGAAGAGATAAGAGAACAAGACCCTTACACATGCTGCCTACAGGAGACTCCATTCAGATCGGAAGACACACACAGACGCAAAGTGGAGGGATGAAAAAGATATTTCATGTAACTGAAAACAAATAAACAACAACCAAAAAGGCTGGGATAACAATACTTATACCAGACAAAATAGAATGTAAGGCAAAGGCTATACGAGGCCTGTCCAGAAAAAGTGCAGCCATAGTTAATATATCAAGAATGGTTTGCACCAGCATCAACATAACCTGGCAGCCAAGGAGAGAGGACTGGAATGCGCAGGCATGAACAAGGACGACCTCACTGTGCTGGTCAGTGGGGGTGGTAGATGCCGTTGAGTGAGTATGTGTATGGCCATCATGTTTGAAATGACTGAGCTAGTAGAGCAATGAATCAAACTTTGCATTAAGCTTGAACATTCCTCCATGAAAACTATTCAGAGGATTCAGAAGGCTTTCATGGGTGATGCAACGATGCAATGAGTGCAGCACAAATAAAAATGTGGCACAAACACTTCAAAGATGGTCAGCGCAGCAAAGTCACATCAAGATAAGACTATGTCAACTGTGTTTTTTGAATGGGAAAATGTTGTCCATCATGAGTACGCCTCCCCAAGTCACACAATTAAAAAGTACCACATCAGCCCTGGCTCGTGTAGCTCAGTAGATTGAGTATGGGCCTGCTAACCACAGGGTTGCCGGTTCAAATCCCAGTCAGGAAATATGCCTAGGTTGTGGGCCAGGTCCCCAGTAGCAGGTGCATGGGAGGCAACCACACATTGATGTTTCTCTCCCTCTCTTTCACCTTCCTTTCCCCTCTCTCTAAAAATAAATAAAAATATATATTTTAAAAAAGTACCACATTAATGTTCTTCCTGAGTTGAGAGTGACAATATGTCAAAATGGGCTGCAGCCGTGGGCAACTGATGATTGACAGCTTCATCACGACAATGCCCCCTTCATGCATCACATCTCCTGCAGGGTTTTGGTGGTTTTTTTTTTTTTTTTTTTGGTGAAACATCAAGTCCCCCACGTGTACAGACCCCTACATCCAGATTTGCCTTTGAAGTACTTCTCCTTTTTGGCCTTGCCCCTAGATTTGTTCACTGGGTCTTTGTCTTTCTTGGCTGACTTTCCAGCATCTTTCTTCTTTGTGTCATCCTTCAGCGGCGTAGCAGAAATCAAGGAGCACCTATTCTCACTGCTTCCTAAGAAGATGTAGGACCAAAAGGCCAAATGGATTAATTTCTTAATGGTCTTTAATGAAAATGGGGAACAAAAACTAAAATATCTCCTATGGTGACCAGGAAAATGCACAAACACACTTCTGCTACATTCATTCCCAAGTGCCATGAGCCCAGGAAAGTGACCTGTGAGGGCTGAGTCAGCCCCTTCCTCACAGAACAGCAAGTTCACTTAAGAGAATGAGAGACACAGAACCTGTGATGACTGAGGTGTGGTGAACTGACAAACACTCTCTCAAATGAACGTGAGCTTCTCCCTCAGGGAGAGTCAGCAGGCAGTTGACACCTGACAGCACTTGCTATATGGATGGAATGGAAGCTCTCAGAGGAAAACCAGGGTTCTGGCAAATATGTGTCTCACCACGGCAGCCAGACAGCTTCCCAGAGCTGACAACCATTTCCAGTGGGGTCTGCAGTAACGTTAACAGTTGTGATTTTTGATGATGTGTCATTAAATGCACCAACACTGGGAGATCTCTATCACTTAGTGAAACGATGCATTACTTTCACATAATCCTGCAGCGGTACAAGAGCCACTCAAGCAACATAACAGAATAGGAAATACTCAATGGTGTAGTTTCAGGTTCCACTTTGCAAAGAGCTTTTCAGAAACTACCACTTGTGTAGCTTTAATGAACGATCAAAGATGAATATCCACACTTAGCTGAAAATGTTATTAAAAATGCTCCTCCTCCATATTTGTGTGAGGCTGTATATGCCTTCATATACTGCCACCAAAGTAACAGATTAAACACAGAAGCAAATATGAAAATCCAGGCCAAGCAGTAGTTTCAACTGTGCTGCTTGATCTGCCGCTTTGCAGGAGGTGACTACCTGGTCTATGACAATGATGTCACTGTTTGGAGTCCCCGGGGCAGGATTCATGGAACGGAAAACACCATGGGAGCTGTCAAACAAGGTCCAGCCACAGTTGGTCTAAAATCGAAAACCCACAAAGTGTTGGTTGCATCGAAGGGGATGCAGTCAGAGCTTGCAGCTCATCAGAAAAAAATTCTCCATTTTGACAACCACATCGGTATCTCAACGGCGAGACTCAGAGCTGAGGCTAGACCGTTATGTGATTGTATGCACCGAGAGTGTGTGGATTCCAGATTTGTATTGGACAGACCTCTTCCTGTGTCTCATCTTGTCACTCTAATCAGAAGTAAGATCCAGATACCAATGCAAAGATGCGGCTGAAGACTGTATGGTGTTGGGCTGCCTATTGCTGGTTATGAAAATACTGGCCCTCACAGTTTCCAAACCCGTCCATCTGCTAACCCCTTTGACTGCAGAGCCACGTTCCGTGGAGCCCATTCTCAATCAGCTCGCACTTACTCAGAGAAATACGTGTCTGAATTTATGGAGTCCAATTTTAATGAATTGATTAAGTACGGCCTGCGTGCTTTAGGAGAGACACTTCTTGCAGCGCAGGGCCTAACTCCAACCAATGTTTCCACTGGAATTGTTGGTAAAGACTTGGGGTTTACGATTTATGATGATGGTGATGATGATGTGTCCCCACTCCTGAAGGTCTTGAAGAAAGGCCACCGAGAAAGGCACAGCCTGCTCAGCCAGCTCTGATGAACCTGCAGAAAAGGCCGATGAACCCATGGAGATTTAAGTGACAATCCCCTGGTCTATATGTGTATTAACAAATGTGTAAGAATGCAGGAATATGCCCTGATGACAATAATCTGTGCTTTGACCCAAAAGATGCAGTGGTGGAAGGATACGTTTTAGGAATGGGTCCAGCAGGGAGTCTTTCCCAAGCGATTTCACTGAAACCTGGTTTTGGATGCATTTTTCTTTGAGAGGGTCTATATAATCATTTTCTAGAAGGTCTAGTTATCTGTACTAATGCTTTTATATGAAAAACATAGTGTCTTTGTGGCTTTAAAGACAACTATGAGATAAAATTATTTCATCTAAAAAAAAAAAAAGAAATTCCAGCGGTCTTCTAATGCTCCAGACAAGAACTGAGACTTGCAAAAATGTAAAATGTAAGCAGAGCCACTCTTCTCACTACGTTGTTTATTTGGGAAATACTTATTTTTCACAAAAACATCATTTCTGATAAGATATGTTAGGTTATTAATATTATTCTAAATAAATTAATAATTTTTCCAATTGTTTTTTCCTTGTATGGCAAATATTCATAGCTATAACCCACATAAGCAAAATTATTTTGGCTGTCCTCCCTATTTATAAGACTACAGATGTCCTGAAGCCAAAATATTGCAGAGTCGCTGGAAAAAACAGCCCGTGGGCCAGGACTCCGGGTAACTGTGGGACAGAGAATTCTTTGTCCAGGAGGAGGAGGGCTCAGGGCAAAGACCCAGTTTTCCCAGGCCTGGATACTCACGACGCTACCCCAGTTCTCACTCTCATTGGATGTCGAACTCTAGAGGAGCCAATCAATGTCACCGTGGACTAGAGCCGCCATTCGTTGTCACGTGAAGGGTATCAAGTCCTCACTGACAATCATAACTCCTGCACCGACATAGCACATGTGGCCTGGACTCCTGCTCCTGCTGCTCTCAGGGGCCCTGACCCTGACCGAGACCTGGGCCGGTGAGTGCGGGGTCCGGGGGGAACGGCCTCTGCGGGGCAGGAACCAGGGGACCCGGTGGGGGCGCAAGACTCGGGGAAGGCGCGTCTCCTGCACCCGCAGCCCAGACCCCAGACCCCCCACTCCCACCTCGGTCCCGCCCCTCTGCCTCTCCAGCGCCCACCTCTTAACCACCGCCCCCATATCCTTCCTCCGGGCACCTGCCCATACAGGCCTGACCAAGATCCCAGGACACGCGTCCTCCCCGCGCCCAGTGCCCCATACCCTGAGATATTGCAGCACCGCCATGTATGGACCGAACGTGTGGCAGTACCGGTACACCGTCGTCGGCTACGTGGACGACACGGAGATCATGGGGCTCGACAGCGATGCCCAGAACCCAAGGCTGGAGCCGCGGGTGACCTGGATGCAGCAGCCGTGGGTGGAACAAGAGAATCCAGATTTTTGGGAGGAACAGACGCAGGTCTTCAAGCACTATGAAGACGTATGGAAAGAGAAGATGGACCTGCGTGGCTACGCCTTCATCAGCGAAGTCGGTGAGCCAGGCGCGCCCGGGTCCGGTCATGAGTCCCATTCCCACGGACATGCCCAGGTGGCCCTCAGTCTCCGCTCCGAGCCTCACCTGGAGGCTGCGGTCCTGTGGGGGCCAGGCGGGGTTAAGTGAGCGGGGCTGACTTCGGGGTGGGGTCAGAGTTCTACACCTGGCAGGAAAACACTGGCTGCGTCCTGGGGTCCGACGGACGCTTCCTCCGAGGGTACAGTCAGTTCGCCTACGAGGGCGCCGACTACTACGCCCTGAACGAGAACCTGAGTTCCTGGACCACCGCCGACACGGCCCCCTGGATCGATAGGAACAGATTGCTGCGAGTCCCTGATGCGGACAGCGTGAGGACCTTCCTGGAGAGCAAGTGCGTGCGCTGGCTCCGCCTGTTCCTGGAGAAGGAGGAGACCCTGCTCCGAGCAGGTACCAGGGCGCGGGCCTCCCCAAGGAAAGGATCTGTGGGCTGAGGCGGCTTCCTACAAGGAGAGGAGGAAAATGGGGCAGTGTCAGAACCAAGCAACTGCCCCCTCTCCGCTCCCTGCACAGGAGAGGAAAGAGTCCCCCAGATCGCCTTATTCTGTGACTCACTGGCAGGCTCAGCTTTCTCTAAAGGACAATAAGAGACCCACCTCTCCCTGAAACACAACCACAGCGGTTCCCTCACCTGGTGCACCAGGACGCTCTCCCTGATTCTGGGGATGAGACCTTCTCTCCAGGCCTGACTGACTACAGGTTTCTGAGTCATCAGCCTCCACCTGAGTCTGTGTCTCCCCTTAGAGACCTGGACACGCCTACTCCAGGTTCCTACCAGGATTCTGGAAGTTTCTAAGGAATAGGAGATTATCCCATGTGCTTCTGTCCAGTCTGAGTGTTGCTCTCCCTTCCCCAACCCCTGCTGTCCTGTCCACTCTCATGGTGGTCACATGAGCACTGCTGGAGTGTCCCATGACCATGCAAAGTTCCTGAATTTTCTCACCCTCCCCTCAGACCCTCCAAAGACACATGTGACCCACCACCCCATCTCTGACCACGAGGTCACCCTGAGGTGCTGGGCCCTGGGCTTCTACCCTGCGGACATCACCCTGACCTGGCAGCTTGAAGGGGAGGACCTGACCCAGGACATGGAGCTTGTGGACACCAGGCCTGCTGGGGACGGGACCTTCCAGAAGTGGGCAGCTGTGGTTGTGCCCCCTGGAGAGGAGCACAGATACACGTGCCATGTGCAGCACCAGGGGCTGCCCGAGCCCCTGACCCTGAGATGGGGTGAGGAGGGGGTGTGGGCCCAGAGCCTCTCCTCAGGGTGTCCCTGAGCAGGGTCAGGACTCAGGCCTGAGTTTGACCTCTCACCTTCCCCTCACAGACCCCCCTTCTCAGACCACCATCATCATTGTGGGCGTCGCTGCTGCCCTGGGTCTTCTTGGAGCTGGGACTGCTGGAGTTATGCTGTGGAGGAGGAAGTGCTCAGGTGGGCAAGGGGCAGGGGCTGAGTTTCCTGTCCCCCTGGGGTTCAAGCCCAACTGGAAGTGTGCTCTGCCTCATTAATGGGCATTATATCCCCACACAGGTGCTTGCCCATCTGGGGCCTATTTCCTAACACTGACTCTTTAGTGAGGCCCATGGGAAAGTGAGGGACACATTTATCACCTGATGATTCTAGCAATGGGGACTGGTTCCCAGCTGTCACGGGTCAGAGGGGAAGGTCCCTGCTGAGGACAGACATCCTGATGGGCAGTTGGTCCAGTCCCTGCACATGTACTTCCCATGTACTTCCTGATCCTACACTGGGTGTTGAGTTCTGGATCTTTCCCCTGTGCTTCAGGAGTGTGGGGCTCCTTTAGGTGGGACCCAGCCTTCCCCCTGACTTCTCACAGAACATTTTCTTCCCACAGACAGAGGCAGGAAGAGCTACGCTCAGGCTGCCTGTAAGTCTGGGTGTTGGGGAGGTGACATCTGGGACCCTTGGGGGAGTGTGGGCTGGAGTCTGTGAAGGGGGCTCCCCCACCCCATAACTCTGCTGTTGTGTCTTCCCCAGACAGCAAAAGGGCCCAGGGCTCTGATGTGTCTCCTACAGCTCCTAAGGGTGAGACCCTGAGGGCAGGAAGTGGAGGGTATTTGGACAGAGGAGGGTATTTGTTTTGGGGACTCTGAGAGTGGGACATTTTGAGCATGAGGTGGGCTGTGGGAGAATGTGACACTTCTGACACTGACCTGAATTTGTTCATAACAACTTTCTTTCCCAGCATGACAGAGCTGCCTTGTCCGGGTTTGATGCTAAATAGCCATTGCAGCCTCCCCTTGGGACTTTAAGGATCCCTGTCTGCTATTTCCACAACAAGTATCTGAACATGTCTGTATTATATTAAATTTAGCTATATATATATATATATATATATATATATATATATGAATTAAACAGAAGTGATTTAGATTAAAAGCTCCAAGGTGCATTGTTTCTGGTAGGTGTTATTCTATCTACACCTTTACCTGTTTGTTAAGCTGTTCTAAGTCACTTTAAATTCATAAACTTTACCATGAGGTGTGGAGACAACCCAGGAGGGACAGACTGTGTGACACGTGACAAGGGGACATCACGGCTCCCCAGTGATGTTCCCTGTGACCACCCGTGCTCCATGCACCATTCAGGGTTTCTTCCCATACATTCAAATGTACCTTCTGGACCCTGGCTGTGGCTGGTTTAGTCCCCTGATTCTAAATGAGTGCTGCTTTGTAGCTTAGGAGTTTTGCCACGCTTCCAGGCCCCCCTGGTATAGACCTCAGGGGTGTCCCTGTGAGCATCAGAGAGCTGACCAATGAGAAAGTGAGGAACACCTGCTTAAGGCAGGAATTGTTCCATTGTCCACTGTCCTTAACCCACTGCAGACACTGCTCTCATTCTGCGGACGCTGAGTCCTGGAAGGTCATGGCCAAGGAGACGAAGTCCTTAGTGGCTTCCTCTGAGAGTTCCTCCCCAACAGAGAGCCCTCAGGCCACAGGATCAGTCTGGCTACTCAACTGAGAACAGAATCAGGAGACAAGGGACCAGCGAGGCAGGAGGGAAAGGTGTGGGGAAGCTCCCATGGTTCCAGGCTGCAGGTGCTGGGTGTTCTGATGGGGCTGTGAGTGGTGGAAACAGTGGGAAGGGACTGGACACTGAAGGCATTTGGTAGATTTCACAGCATTTCCTAATGATTAAATCTGGGGTGTGAGAAAGGAGTCAAGGATGGTACCCCACATTTGTATTCTGCCAGCAGAAAGATGGGATTATATCAGCAGAGATGGGTAGACTCTGTAGGAGCATGTGTGGGGACGGGGGTGGTATTTCAAATGTTCAGCTGAAGAGAAGGTCAAGGTGAGATGTGTGATAGACACACCAGTGAGGTGTCAGGTTGGTCAGATGAGTGTGGGGACGTTGAGGAGAAATGTCTGGGCTGGAGACACAGACGTGGAGGTGATGCTACGAGAATGACATTTAAATCTGTGAGTGTGGATCAGGCCACCAAGGGAGCCAGGACTGTAGAGGAATGGACAAGGACCAGACACTGCACCCACCTGTCGTCACCGTGGGGACGTTCATCCTGGTGACTCCCCAGGTTGGTGGTGGCCAGGTCTCCCCATTACACATTCATGATTTGGTGTTTGTCATTCATCAGTAATTTACAGGGAGATACTCTGAGATTGTCTGCTGTGCTCTTCACCACTTCTACACTCACCCTCCTTAGCCCCTCTCATACCTTCCACCCAAGTCAGTGAAAATATGACAGTTGTCCTGTATCAGCCCTGGACACTTATGAGTAGGGTGTGAAGTACAGCACATGGAAAGTAGGAAGTAATATTGTTCTGACTTTGTTTGGTGTCCAATGGGTACTAGACTTTTCGGGGAGATTGCTTAATAAGCTATGTAAATGTGTAATCATGGAGTTTCATGGAGGAAAGTAATATAACATTGTATCTTGGCTGTAGTTAAAAAATAAAAAATCTCATGGACACGGACAACAGTGTGGTAATTGGGGTTGGGGGGTTGTATTCATGGTTTGGGGGATAAAGGCTGGTGGAAAAAACAAATGAAAAAAAATATTTGTGAGTTGAAAAAAGTCATAATTTGGACTTTATGCCCAACATTTTGACAGCAGCAATGAGAAGAAATTTGTGTATTTGGTAACAAGCCCACAAGCCATCCTCGTCTCAGCCAAATTTGGATCCACACAAATCAGTGATGAGCTAGGGCCCTGACTGGAGAAAGGACTTCAATCCACATTTAAATGTTTTCTTCTTCTGGGGAAGGAAAGGTGGTTTATGTGTCGTCATATGACATGAAAGGTGCAGCGTTTTCTCTACTGTGGGGGAAAGTCAAGCGGGAAATGAGGAAGTGACTCTCAGCTCAACATCATGAAAACCTTGGAATGCTCACTCTGCCATGATTCCCCTGAGTGATTTCTGGAACAAATAATGGGACCAACATTTTGTAATTTAAACATAAAAGGACTTATATGCAGATTATTGGGGTCTCACTTTCGTTCAGGAAAAGCCACTTAACAGACCTGAGGTGTGAGCAGGGAGAGCTGTGGGACTAGAGCCCACAGGGAGACCATCCCCGGGTCACTGGGGATGAGCAGTGAGGTTCCCTTAGGTCTCTGAGTGTGTAAGGCTGCCACACAGGCCTCCCCTGAGCTTCTCAGGTTACTATGTGGCCCCTTTCCTTCCACATGCCCCCCTTTTGGTCATAAACCAACCAAAGCACGCATTGCTGACCAAGCCTTTGGGTGGGTAGGAGGCCCCACAATGCTGGGAAGTCTCACTCCTGGGCCATCTCAGAGTCAGGTCTGTCTGGCTGAACAGGACGGACCAATGGGAACAGGGCCAGACTATAACCCCAGATGGAAATGAAGGTCCAACTGTTACTATTCAGAAAAGGCAGGGAAATGAGAGGCAGTCAGAGCCTCCATGCCCTTGTTTGTGAATGTTCTGGATCATTTCCAGTTTTCGAGCTGCCATGACCTTAGTCTTTTTGCAGCTGGTCGTAAGTTCTGTTTTTCTGCCTCTAGTGTAACATTTACACACCAGGGACAGCAGTAACTGTACTAAACCCACAATACCGATTAGGAACAGAAAACATCTAATATTAGACAAGGAAGCGTCTGAGGGGAACAGGCATCCCAGACACCAAAACCCTATGCATGTATCATCAGAAGTTTTATTAACTTAATAATATGTCTTCCTTCCTGGTCCACTGTCCTTTCTACCTTGTGTGTTATGGTTGTCTGGATGAATGAAGACTGTTACTATTTCATGATTCGGAAGTCATAATTTTCCTTCTGGCATAGTTTCCATAGAAATGACCTCATGGGAAGGATTAGGTTCAATTCCCCAATACACTGTATATCCAGTATCAATAATTTCATAAATTTTATTAACCTCAGGCAAAGTTATTTTGCCTATACTTTTAGTGTTACACCACATTCCAGTAGTATTTAACATAAAGAGGGTGTTATTACAATAAAAATCACTTAGTATAACAGAATCCTATATCCCTCCCAACAAAAACAACCCTTTTCCATATACCAGATACTGGTATTTGCTGGGGAAGAAACAACAGGCCCAGACTGGGTAAATTCAGTATTCCCTATAAATTGGGGCGTGACTATTACCTTCTCAATGTTTACAATTACACAGTGAGATGGGTCCCCATTATTTATTTTAATAAACGTGGTACATTACATCCTGCAGGAAGTATCCCGTGTTGGCGAGGATGGTCCCTAGGCCAGCTGTGGAATACTGAGGACCTGAGCTGAGCACCTCACCAACGTGCCTGGGCTTTTAACACACTACATGGTAGCTTGCCTTTCCCATCCAAATTTTCCAAAATCCAAGGGGACCATATGAGTCCCATGACTGTCTGGCCTGGACTCTTGCACCCATTCCAGGGGCCACGGTTTCCTAGCCACTTCAAACTGTGTCTGCCTCAGCTCTGACAACAGGCCTGTGGAGTTCGGGTGCAGGCAGGTCCCACTGCTGGGTCTGGGCCTGAGTTTCTATAGTCTGTCCAGTCTGTCCATCCATGGAGCTCAGGCCTCACTGTCCTTCTGTGCCGCTTCCCACGCTTTTCCTGCTTCAGGAACAGCACTCCCTCTACAGGACACACTTTAGGTAAAGGGTCTTTTTCTAACGAATGACGTTCTTCATTGACTTCAAGTTCAGCTTCTCCCAGAACACCAAGGCCAGCCCCTCATCCTCCAAGTACCCTCTTTTATTTCCTTTAGAGGGCGAGTAGGGTTGGATCCACCAGGGATGTTGTTGCCATTGGGCAGCCATGGCCAGGGAGCAGCTGGGGTGCACTGAATACGCCCAGAACTGTTGAGTTTCCCACCCACAGTTAAATGGATAGAGGTAACCCCAAAATGAACTAGAGTTTGAATGTTCCATAAAGCTTCCCACAAGTGTCCAGGACTCAGGAGAGTGGGGTATTTACAGATATAGCTGCCCAACAAGTCATAACAATAATTTTTGAAATGGGGAGCCATTGATTTTTTTCTTGTTTCACAGACATGCAGCCACAGGCACAAGGCTGGTGAGTCCAAGGACCAGACACACTGTGACAGAGAGAGTCAGTCACTGCCAGCCTTTCCCACCACATGCAGGTGTTTCTGTTAGCTCTTCATCACCCGTTGCTGTAGCTACACAACACTCACCTAGGTGGTGGGTCCATATGTGATTCCAGCAGGGGAATTATCAGGGACGTGTTCTTGGAGGAATTTCCCCTAGATGGGTCCTTTATGAAAGACATATACAGGAAAAATGTACCAAAGCTTATAATGATAGAAGGAGAAGCCCAATGTGTGGGCAACAAAGCATTAACTTCATTATCATAACGAATAATTACAATACCATTGTCTAGTAGGTGGAAAAGATGAGCAGGTACCCAAGTTAAGTTTTCTGTGTCTAAGAAGAAAGCGGGTCTGGATAGATGGCACTGTTTCCATGAGGAAGCCATGAGGAGGATAATAACAATACAAATTCATCTTATGTGCATTCCGTCAACAGCAGCATCAATTTGTGAGCCTACAGGCCCCATTGCTGTGCTGGGACAGCTGTCTGCTTGCCTGGTCGGTGGCTTCTTGCCCTTGAAAAGTCCTTGATCCCCAGGGTAGGTGGAGGCGAGTGTAAGGGAAAGGGCAGATCTCCATGAACTATCAGGCGCCTTTTTAAAATGAGAAATGTGAACCCAGGAGTTAACTCCTTTGAGTTGGGCTGCACGTGGGTTAGTTAGTAGTACCTGGTAAGGTCCCTCCAATGAGGCTGGAGAGAGTCCTTTATTTGATGTCTCTTCCAACAGACCAAATCTCCAGGTTGTAAGCCATGATCTTTGAAATCTGTGTCTCCTGGGAGGACAGCGTGAAATGAATTGGTTAATAATTTATCAGTGTTTTTAAGCTGGTTAATAAGTCCCTGAAAGTGGTGTAGAAGGTCTCCTTTCAGCAAAATTGTTCTCTGTGCCCCTTCATCCAGATGCACAGGGCGGCCAGAGACCAATCCCGAAGGAGAAGGTTCACGTTCACCAAAGGGTGTGGCTCTCAGGTTGAGTTGCACTCTAGGGAGAGCTTCTGTCCAGGGCAGAGTGAAGGCTTCTGAAGTTCTGTCCAGTTGAATTTTGATGTCCCATTGGTTTGTCCCCCAGTCCAGAGGGCGGGGGTGAGGGGCACAGCGAAAGTGCTGCAGAAGGGGCCAAAGGTTGCAGGTGGATTTTGTGGCTTGCCCAGTGAAATGAGTCCTCAGTCATGATATAACTCAGAGGGAATTCCCCTGTTGAAAAGTTATTCTTTCTAACAAGAATTGCCAGTTGTTAAGGCTGCCACTCTCCTGCAAGGCAACACCTCAACCCAGTGAGAAAACATACAAGTCATCACTCATGTACATTTGTGTCCCTGACACGGTGGCAATATGGATGAAATACCAAACATCACGTGGACCCACAGGAGTGGGAAATGTCCTTGGGACCCAGGGAGTGGGTCCCTGGGCTGCACTTTGGACAGATAGGACATCTGCTGTCCTCCTCATGAGCTACAGCAGAAGGTCTCCAGTGACATCGTTCCCTCCATGAAACCAACTTCCCAGGACCCCAGTGTACAGGGGTCATGTACAGGTTCAAGTGCAGGGAGTCGGGCCCCTACAGGTAAGATAGGTTGTGACTGGGTCCAACCCACATTTCTCTGTCTGGGTCAATGTTTCCCTCTTTTCGTTGCATATTCTCCTTTCCCCCTCCTTAGCTGTCTGTTGAAACTGTAAAAGATAATCCCTTATTGACTTAATAGAATTCAGGGAACATTTTTGGGCCTGCATTTGTCTGTGCAAAGCCACCTGCCCAGCTACAGTATCAGCAAAATGACTTCCTTTCCCTTCCATGGTGGCAGTGGAATGCCCCAGAATTTTGACAATGGCCCATCGTTTTGGGTCCTGTGTGGCGTCTAATAATTCTCCAACCAGTCTTCCATTTGTTTGTGGGCTGCCCTGAGGAAGTGAGGAGGCCTCCCCACTTCCCCATCATCCACAGTCACAGATACACCAGGTACACACGACTCTCAGGGTAAACATTGGCTACTGGATCTTCGTCCAGGTGACAAGCCGGAGTTAGAGCAGTGAGTTCAGCATGCTGGGCAGATTTCATTTCCAGTCAGTGAGAGCTCTCAATTATGTCCACCAGGGAAGTTACTGCATGTCCCTCTCAGTAATGTCCCTGCTCATCTCTCAGATAAGATCCCTCTGTAACCAAGTTAAAGCAGCAGTATTAATAGGAGATTCCTGTACATCACTCCTAGAAACCAGTAGGTGGTCAGTCAGCACAACACAACTGTCTTCATGCTGCGAAGAGGGTAACAGGTGCAGGGTTAAGGTGATCACACCGAGTTCAAGTGGTATCAGGTGCAGAGAGCGGGACACTTCCTAAGAAGCCAAATGGACAACACAAACGTGTTCAGTGGGATGAGAGGTCAGTGAACAGTCAACGGAATTAGTAAAAAAAAATAAAAATAGTTAAAGAGGGGCCTTTAACTTATTTTTATTCTGTTTATGCAACCCGGCTGCACCAGACCGGACCTGCAGCGGGAAAGACTTCTTCTCCAGGTTTACCCAAAGCCCGGAACAAAGCCAGGCGTGGACCCTCCCCGGCGCAGCCCGAGTTCTCACTCCCATTGGATGTCCGAACTAGCCAATCAGCGCCAGAGCGGATAAGGTGACCAGGACCCTTCCAGACCGTTGGTCTGCGTCATGGGGCCCGGACCCTTCCTTCTTTTCCTGCTGCTGCTGTCATGGGGCCCGGAGCCCTCCTTCTCCTTCTCCTCCTGCTGCTGCTGTCCGGGACTCTGGCGCTGACCCAGAAATGGACCCGTGAGTGCGGGGTCGGGAGGGAACAGCCTCTGCGGGGCAGGAGCAAGGGGATCCCGGAGGCGCAGGATGCGGGGATGGTGCCTCTGCAGCACCGCCGGCCCAGGCCCCAGGCCCCAGACCCGGGACTCCCGCCTCGCCCAAGCTCCTCCCCATTTCCCGCCCAATCCCCTCAACCACCGCCCAAGTTTCAGACCCCAGGGCGCAGCCCCCACCGGCCCCACTGTGAACCCGGGACCTGCGTCCTCCCCGCCCCCAGGCCCCCACACCCTGGGATATTTCTGCACCTCCACGTCCGGACCCGGCCGCGGGAAGAACCGGTACGTCGTCGTCATCTACCTGGACGACACGGAGGTCTTGCGGTTCGACAGCGACCCCGAGAAGCAGAGGCTGGAGCCACGGGTGCAGTGGCTGGAGCAGCCGTGGATGGAGCAGGAAGGCGCAAAATTTTGGGAGGAGCAGACGCGGGAGATGAAGCACAACGAACAGCGGAGCAGAGCGAACCTGAACAAGCTGCGCGCCCACTACAACCAGAGCGAGGACGGTGAGCCACGCGCGCCCCGGGGCTCGCGGACGAACCCCATCCTCACAGACGGGCTGGGATCGCCGGAGTCCCGGGGTCCCAGTTACCCTGAGGCTGCTGCAGGGTGGGGCCGGGCGGGACTAAGTGGGTGGGGCTGACCTTGGGCTGCGTCAGTGTCTCACACCTTCCAGGAAATGACCGGCTGCGTAGTGGGGTCCGAGGGTAACTTGCTCCGAGGGTTCAGTCAGTTCGCCTACGACGGCACCGAGTGCATCACCCTGAACCAGGACATGCGCTCCTGGACCACGGCCCCCCAGGTCACCTTGCGTGAGTTGGTGCTGGTCCCTGATGTGGATGTCAGGAGATACTTCCTGCAGGACACGTGCGTGCGCCGGCTTCAGCTGCTCCTGGAGAAGGGGAAGGAGAAGCTGCTCCGAGCAGGTACCAGGGCGATGGCCTCCCCAAAGAGGGAATCCATCGGCGGGGGAAACTTTCCTACAAGGAGAGGAGGAAAATGGATCAGTATCAGAATCCTCGTCTTGGTCAGGAGAGAGAAGAGTCCCCCCAGGCTTCCTCATCTTACGACTGTGTAAATGTAACTACTATTTAACTGTTAGAGAGTTGAAATTACATTCCGCCCTTTGAAGGCAACTGAGAGGCTGATGTGACCCCTGTGAAAATGAGTTTGACACCCCTGCAGCACCTGGTGCACCAGGAGCTCTCCCTGGTTCTGGGGCTGAGATCCTCTCTGGAAGCTTGACTCCAGCTTTTGTTGGTCATTTTGTTGGTCAATCTCTGAGTCTGATTCTCAACTTAGAGACCTGGACAGTCCTATTTTAGGTTCTCTGCCTGATTCTTGAACTTTCCAGGAAATAGGAGATTATCTCAAATGTCTCTGTCTAGGCTGGTGTCAGGGTGGTGCCATGCTGGAATGTCCCATGACCATGCAGAGTTCCTGAATTTTCTCACCCTTCCCTCAGACCCTCCAAAGACACACGTGACCCACCACACCATCTCTGACCATGAGGTCACCTTGAAGTGCTGGGCCCTGGGCTTCTACCCTGCGGACATCACCCTGACCTGGCAGCATGACAGGAAGGACCTGACCCAGGACATGGAGCTGGTGGAGACCAGGCCTGCAGGGGATGGGACCTTCCAGAAGTGGGCAGCTGTGGTCGTGCCCCCTGGAGAGGAGCACAGATACACATGCCATGTGCAGCACCCGGGGCTGCCTGAGCCCCTGACCCTGAGATGGGGTGAGGAGGGGGTGTGAGCACAGAGCCTCTCCTCAGGGCATCCCTGAGCAGGGTCAGGACTCAGGCCTGAAGCTGACCTCTCACCCTCCCCTTGCAGACCCCCCTCCTCAGACCACCATCACCATTGTGGGCATCACTGCTGCCCTGGGTCTCCTTGGAGCTGTGGTCACTGGAGCTGTGCTGTGGAGGAGGAAGTGCTCAGGTGGGCAAGGGGTGGGGCTGAGTTTCCTGTCCCTCTGGGGGTCAAGCCCAGGTGGAAGTGTGCTCTGCCTCCTCAATGGGCATTATATCCCCACACAGGTGCTTGCCCATCTGGGGTCTGTTTCCTAACACTGACTCTAGTGAGGCCCGTGGGAAAGTTTGGGACACATTTATCACCTGATGGTTCTAGTGATGGGGACTGATTCCCAGCTTTCACAGGTCAGAGGGGAAGGTCCCTGCTGAGGACAGATGTCCAGAGAGGCATTTGGTCCAGTTCCCACATATGTACTTTCCCCATATTTCCTGATCCTACCCTGGGTGTTCATTCACAGTTCTGGAAACTTCCCTGCGCTTCATGAGTATGGGGCTCCTTTAGGGTCACGGGACCCAGCCTTCCCCCTGACTTCTCACAGAACATTTCCTTCCCACAGGCAGAGGCAGGGGGAGCTACACTTAGGCTGCCTGTAAGTCTGGGTGTTGGGCAGGTGATGTGGGACCCTTGGGGGAGTGTGGGCTGAGTGCAGAAGGTGGGGGCATTGACAGGTTTTGGGGATTCTCAGAGTGGGACATTGGGAGCATGGGGTGGCTGTGGGAGAATGTGACACTTGTGAGACTGACCTGAGTTTGTTGTTGACAACTTTCTTTCCTAGCATATCAAAGATGCTTTCCACGGAAGTTGGTGTAAATCCATCATTGCAGCCTCCCCTTGAGACTTGAAGGATCCCTGACTGCTGTTTCTGCAACCAGCATCAGAAACTGTCTGCATCCTTATCAGCACCAGTGAGGAGTGGGTCACCAGGCCACCCTCCCCACAGGGACCTGTGTCCTCTCCCCTGGGGACTGTTGTGTCGTAGCCAAGTTGGGGTGAGGCCACCCCATCCTGGTCATTCCTCATCTGGGTTATCTGTGTTGCTATTTTGTCCAAGGAGAACCTTGTCCCACCAGGACCTGGGATCCCTGGGACTTCAGCATCACCCGAGCCTTGTGTTAGCTCCAGGACTGTGCTCAGTGAGTGCCTCATGGGGCCGCGTCAGCCTGGGCTCAGGCCTGGGTCTGTCCTGCAGCCCCCATCTTTTGAGTACATGTGGTTTCTTTGACTTTGTAGATATTGTTTGTACCTTTTCTAACTATTTAAAAATCAAGTTATTTGGGTATTTACATTAAATGATAGGGATGTATCTTTTTATTAAATGTATTGGGGTGCATTGGTTAAGAGGATCATGTAGGTTTCAGGTGCACATTTCTATCATACAGGATCTGTACATTGCACTGTGTGCCCACCACCCAGAGTCAAACCATCTTCCCTCACCAGGTATGAGACCCCTCCTCCCCCAACCCCCTCCCCTCTGGGAACCAGCACACTGCTGTCTGAGTTTCAGTTTTATGTCCCACACGTGGGTGAAATGCTAATAGTTCTTAGCATTTCTTTTTTGTTGTTGTTTTTCAGATTGTATTTATTTATTTTTAGAGAGCAGGGAAGCCAGGGAGAAAGAGAAGGAGAGAAACATGGATGTGCAAGATAAACATCAAGATAGGTTGCCTCAGGCATGCTGCCAATCGGGACGAGGCCCGAAACCCAGGCCTGTGCCCTCACCAGGAACTGAACTGGAGCCTTTTCAGTTTGTGGGACAATACCCATCCCACTTAGCTCTACCAGTCACCTTCCATTAAAAACAAACAAACAAACAAAAAAAAAAAAAACGCAGTATCCTCCCGGCTTAATCGCTTCATTGGAGTGTCATCCCCTATGTCAATAGGCTGTGCATGCAGATCCCCGTCAGGACACATACCGAGGATGGAGTAGCAAGCCCAGGTCAGGGCGCCTTGGGAGGCAACTGAGCGATGTTTCTCTCCAATATCAGTCTTTCTCTCTCACTTGCTTCTTTTCTCTCTCTCTCTCTCTGAAATCAAGGAAAAAAATGTCCTCTAGTGAGAATTTAAACAAAAAATACATTCCAGAGAATCAGCTGATGATTACAGTATTTTGCCATGTATAACATGCACCGACATTTTTGGCCCAAACATTCAGGAAAGAAATGTTCATTTTAATTTTTAATACAATTATTTATTTATATTTAGATGCTTTTTTTTTGTATGATAAAGGAATTTGAGCATTGTTTTGGTCATATGGTATTATATTGCATATGGATATCGCTATTGCTTTCCAGAGTTACACTTTTAACACACTCGCATAAATAAAAGAATTAGCCCTGGCTGGTGTGGCTCAGTGGATTGAGTGTGGGCTGCAAACCAAAGCATCACAGGTTCGATTCCCAGTCAGGGCACATGCCTGGGTTGCAGGCCATGGCCCCCAGCAACCGCACATTGATGTTTCTCTCCCTCCCTTCCCTTTCTAAAAATAAGTAAAATTTTTTAAAAAGAGAATTAAAAACATTTTGTCCTGGCTGGCGTGACTCAGTGGACTTAGGGCCGGCCTGCAAACCCAAGGATAGCCATTGGATTCCCAGTCTGGGACACTTGCCTGGGTTGCAGACCAGATCCCCAGTAGGGGGCGTGCGAGAGGCAACCACACATTAAAGTTTATCTCCCTCTCTCCTTCCCTTCCCCTCCCTCTAAAGAATAAATAAAATATATATGTTTTAAATGCTCCTCCTGCCTTAGCTGGTGTTGCTCCGTGGATTGAGTACCATCCAGAGAACCAAAGGGACATTGGATTCCCAGTCTGGGACACTTGCCTGGGTTGCAGGCCAGGTTCCCAATAGGGGGCGTGCCAGAGGCAACCACACATTAATGTTGCCCTCTCTCTAAAAATAAAATCGTTTTTTAAAATGTTCCTCCTCCATATTTGTGTGAGGCTGTATATTCCTTCATATACTGCAACTAAAAATAAATTGAATGCAGAACAAATATGAAAATCTAGCGGACTTCTAATTTTACAGACAAAAACTGCAACTTAACAAAAATATAAAATGTAAGCAGATCCACTCTTCTCACTACCTTGTTTGTTTGGGGAATAGTTATTTTTCATTAAAAAAACATTTCCATTAACATGTCATAGGCTACTATGATTATTCTAAATGAATTTAAGAATTTTTCAACTTTTATTCCTTGTAAATATTGGTAGCAGTAACCCACACAAACAAAATGATTTGGGGGTCGTCGCTATTTTGTGAGACTAGATATTCTGAGACCAAAATGTTTGAGAGTCGCTGAATAAACAGCCCGGGGGCCAGGACTCAGAGAGACAGCGGGACAAAATTCTCCATGCAGGAGAAAGACTTGGGACCGAATCCCGGGTCACCAGGCCTGACTCCAAGGTCTGAGGCCTGAGTTTGAGGCGGGGACCCTCAGTGTTGGGGGCAGTCCCCTTCGGTTCCGGGCTTTCCCTTCTCCCTGGGGTTTCATTTTCCTTTCTCACAACCTCTGCCGGGTCCTTGCCTGCATACTCAGGACACAACCTCATGTCTCATTATGATTGGATGTCCGAACTCTAGAAAAACCAATCAGCATCATCATGGACTCGAGTTACCCACCTATTCCTCCCTCAACCCTAAGGATGGACAGGGTCCCGGACACCTAGTCCTGCTGCTCTTGGAAGCCCTGGGCCTGACAGAGACCTGGGCCGCTGCGTGCGGGGTCGGGAGGGAACGACCTCTGGGGGCCAGGAGCTAGGGGACCCGGCCGGGACACAGGACCCAGGAAACGCCCGTCGGCAGCAACCGCAGCCCAATCCCAACCCCAAACTCCCTCCTCGGCCCCGCCCCCTCCTCTCAACCACCGCCCCCTTTGCTGTTCCCACCGCGATCAGTTCCAATCCACCTGACCGCGGGCTCTCGCCGCTCCCCCTCTCCGCCCCCAGGCCCTCACAACCTGAGAATGTTCAGCACCTCTGTGTCCAGGCCGACCTGCATTTGAAGAACCGGTGCACCGTCGTCGGCGGTTACGCGGACGACGCCGGGATCTTGCGGCTCAACAGCGACGCCGCGAGGCCCAGGCTGGAGCCGCGGGTACGGTGGATGGAGCCTCTGTGAGAGAAGCAGGAGGATCCAGATTTGGGGAACAAGCAGATACGGGAAATCAAGCCCAGGAAACAGACCAAGCCAGTAAGCCTGAACAAGCTGCACATGCACTACAACTAGAGCGAGGACTGTGAGCCACCCGCACCCGGTCTCCGCACCATGCACATCACCACGGACGGGCGGGGGTCCCCCCGAATCTGTGATTCGAGCTTCACCCCGAGGTTGCGAGACCCGCCCTGCGCCCATCTGAATAGGACCCCGAGGGGATTTGACCCCGTTTCATTCCAGGTTACGTTTTAATAATCGCGGGTCTAGCAAGGGGCCGACCTGTCCTCGGGACAGAGTCAATGTCCCAACCCACGAGGAAATGAGTGGCTGCAGCGTGGGATACGACAGACGTTCCTCCGCGGAAACAATTCAGTTCTCCTACGACGCACCGTCTAGATGGCCCTGAACGCGGGACCCGCTCTCCTAGACCGCGGCCCACACGGCAGCCCAGGTCACCTGGCGCAAGTTGATGCAGGTCCCTGACGCCGACGTCAGGAGGGCCTACCTGAAGCACATGTGCGTGAGCCGGCTCCACCTGCTCCTGGAAAAGGGGAAGAAGACCCTGCTCCGAGCAGGTACCAGGGCGCGGGCCTCCCGGAAGAGGGGATCTGTGGGCTGGAGCGGCTTCCTACAAGGAGAGGAGGAAAATGGGGCAGTTTCAGATCCAGCTCATGCTCGGGAGAAGGAAGAGTCCCCCAGGTTTCCTCATTTTGTGACTCACCTGCGGGCCCAGCTTTCTCTAAAGGACAGTAAGGGACCCAGCCTCTCCCTGAAACACCCCACAGCAGTTCCCTCACACCCTGCAGCACCTGGTGCACCAAGACGCCCTCCCTGGTTCTCAGGCTGAGACCCTCTCTGGAGACCTCACTCAGGGTCTTCTGAGTCATTAGGCTCTGCCTGAGTCTGTGTCTCCCCTTAGAGGCCTGGAGACTCTCCTCAGGGCATCCCTGAGCAGGTTCAGGACTCGGGCCTGAGGTTGACCTCTCACCTTCCCCTTGCAGACCCCCCTCCTCAGACCACCATCACCATCGTGGGCATCCCTGCTGCCCTGGGTCTCCTTGGAGCTGTGATCACTGCAGCTGTGCTGTGGAGGAGGAAGTGCTCAGGTGAGCAAGGGGTGGGGCTGAGTTCCCTGTCCCCCTGGGGGTCAAGCCCAGGTGGAAGTGTGCTCTGCCTCCTTAATGGGCATCCTGTCCCCACACAGGTGCTTGTCCATCTGGGGCCTCTTTCCTAGCATTAACTCTTTAGTGAGGCCCGTGGGAAACTGCAGGACACATTAATCACCTGATGGTTCTAGCGATGGGGACTGGTTCCCAGCTGTCACATGTCAGAGGGGAAGGTCCCTGCTGAGGATAGACATCCACACAGGCAGTTGGTCTAGTCCCCACACACGTACTTTTCCCGTGTTTCCTGATCCTACCCTAGTGTTCAGTCAGGGTTCTCAGAACCTCTCTTTGCTTCAGAACTATGAGGCTCCTTTCCTGTGTGTTCCCACAGGCAACTCAGGCTGCCTATAAGTCTGGGTGTTGTGAAGGTAACATCTGTGACCCTCAGGAGAGTGTAGACTGGAGTCTAGGAAGGGAGCTCCCACACCCCCTAACTCTTCGGTTGTATTTTTTCCCAGGCAAAATTTTTTTATCCAAGATTTTCCAAAATCCAGGGCGACCACATGAGTCCCATGACTGTCTGGCCTGGGCTCCTGCACCATAATTCCAGGGGCCACAGTTTTGTAACTACTTCCGACTGTGTCTGCATCAGCTCGGACAACAGGCCTGTGGAGTTCGGGTGCAGGCAGGTCCCACTGCTGGGTCTGGGCCTGAGTTTCCACAGTTTGTCAGGTCTGTTCGTTTATGGAGCTCAGGCCTCACTGTCCTTTTGTGTTGCTTCCCACCCTTTCCTGCTTCTGGAACAGCGCTCCCTCTATAGGACCCATTTTAGGTAAACAGTCTTTTTGTAATGAATGACCTTCTTCTTTTTTTAATGATTTCAGAGGAGAAGAGAGGGAGAGAAACATCAATGTGTGGTTGCCTCTTATGCACCCCCTACTGGGGACCTGGCCTGCAACCCAGGCATGTGCCCTAACTGGGAATAGAACCAGCGACACTTTCATTCACAGCCAGTTCTCAATCCACTGAGCTACACCAGCCAGGGCTTATTTATATGTTTTTTAAACTGGTTAATAAGCCCCTGGCAGTGATGTAGAAGGTCTCCTTTCAGGAAAATTGGTCCATGTGCCTCTTCATCCAGATGCACAGGGCGGCCAGAGACCAATCCCGAAGGAGAAGGTTCCTGTTCACCAAAGGGTGTGGCTCTCGGGTTGAGTTGCACTCTAGGGAGAGCTTCTGTCCAGGGCAGAGTGAAGGCTTCTGAAGTTCTGTCCAGTTGAATTTTGATGTCCCATGGGTGTGTTCCCAAGTCCAGGGGGCAGGGGTGAGGGGCACAGTCAAAGTGCTGCAGAAGGGGCCAAATGTTCCAGATGAATCTGTGGCTTGCCCAGTGAAATGAGTCCTCAGTCATGATGTCACTCAGAGGGAATTCCTGAATGGGGGGTTAGTCTCTTATAAGAATTGCCAGTGATTTTCCCATAAAGCAATGACTCAACCCAGTGAGGAAGTCATCACTCGTGCACATTTCTGTCCCTGACACAGTGGCATTTGTATGAAATGCAAATGCCATACCTCATGTGTACCCACAGGAGTAGGAAATGTCCTTGGGATCCAGGGAGTGGGTTCCCTGGGCTGCACTTTGGACAGATAGGACATCTGCTGTCCTCCTCATGAGCTACAGCAGGAGAAGGTCTCCAGTGACATTGTTCCTGTCAGAATGGGCAGGGTAGGACAAGTGGGAATCTAGTTACAATTAGCATTTTGGACTACAAATATGGCCACCGTTTGGACTACAAGTAATATGGCAACTGAACTCTGACCCAGAAGAGGTGACTGACATCAGACCAGGAGCCACCAATGCTAAGTTGCTTCTTTGTTCACCAAGAACCAATCCTTGGCTCCTGCGCGAAGTCCAGCCATATAAAACTCCCAGCCTTTCCCTTCTCCCGCGCGGTCTTTTCTTAGCCCCTTCTCCGGGCAGGGAAAACGTCGCCCGGGAGCACAAACTTCCAAAATAAAGCTCATCTGCCTGTTTCCATGGCTAATTGGCTGTTTATTTCCTCGGCGGGGTCTAAGAAAACCTTACAGTTCCCCCCATGAAACCACCTTCCCAGGACCCCAGTGTGGTGGCTCATGTCCAGGTTCAAGTGCAGGGAGTCAGGCCCCTGCAGGTAAGATGGGTTCTAATTGAGTCCAACCCACATCTCTCTGTCTGGATCAAAGTTTCCCCCATTTTCTTGCATATTCTCTTTTCTCCCTCCTTAGCTATCTGTTGAAACTGTAAAAGATAAATTTTTATTGATTTAAAAGAATTCAAGGAACATTCTTGGATCTGGGTAATTTGTCCAATGCCGAGTGCCCAGCCAGCTGCAGTGTCGGCAAAATGACTTCCTTTCCCTTCCATGATGGTAGCCTTAGAATGCCCTGGAATACTGATAATTGCCCATTGTCTTGGGTCCTTTATGGCATCTAATGATTCTGCAACCAGTTTTGCATTTCTTTGGGGGCTGCCCTGAGGAAGTGAGGAGACCTCACCCCTTCCTCATCATCCCACAGTCATGAGCTACACCAAGTGCACAGCGAAAATCAAAAATCGAAAATCGTTACAAGGTGTAGGCTGAGAAGCCCCAGGCCCGCCTCTTCCCCCTCCCCCACAAGTCTAGCTGGGGAGCTGGGAAAAGCAGCAGGACAGAAACTGAGGGTTATTTTGCCTATCAGTAGCAGCAGGCTAGCTAGGGAGATGAGCAGGAACTTGAGAGCCAGAATTTCTCTAGGTGGGGGTGGGGGTGTGGCCTAAGAGGAACCATAAGGAAAAAAGACCTCTGGGGAGGGGGGTTGTTTCTGCAACAATATCAGTGTAACTATTGGCTACTACATCTTTGTCCAGTTGACAAGCCCGAGTTAGAGCAGTGAGTTCAGTGTGCTGGGCAGATTTTACTTCTAGTAGGTGAGAGCTCTCGATTATGTCCACCCTGAAAGTTACTGCATGTCCCTCTCAGTAATGTCCCTGTTCATCTCTCAGATAAGATTCCTCTGTAACCAAATTAAAGCAGCATCAGTAGGAGTTTCCTGTAAATCACTCCTGGGAACCAGTAGGTGGTCAGTCAGCACAACACAACTGTGTTCATAGTGTAAAGGGGGTGACAGGTGCAGGGCTAAGGTGATCACACCGAGTTAAAGTGACATCAGGTGCAGAAAGCAGGACACTTCCTAAGAAGGCAACGGACTGATAGAAACGTGTTGAGTGCGATGAGAGGTCAGTTAAGAGTCAGCGGAATGAGGAACATATTTAGAGGAGCGCCCATAACGATCTCTGCTTCCTATTCACACACAGCCTCCTTCCCATGAAGGAGGGGTGGAGAGTTCTGGCTGCAGGAGGAGAGCTCAGTACAAAGCCCTGTGTCCCCAGATCTGGATACTAATGACGCTTCTCCAGTTCTCACTCCCATTGGGTGTCCGAAGTCTAGATCGGCTACTCAGCGTTCACCGCGGGTAGATTTGAAAATTCTCTCCACTAGAGGAACTCATCCTCCGCCAACGCTCAGGGATCTCATGGGACCCGGACCCCTGCTCCTGTTGCTTCGGGCCCTGACCGAGACCTGGGCTGGTGAGTGCAGGGTCCGCAAGGAACAGCCTCTGCGGGGCAGGAACGAAGGGACGCTGCCGAGGGCACCCCCCCGGGTGGCTCGGAACCGCCCGTTTGCAACCCCCTGGGCTTGAAACCAGACCCCAGACTCTCACCTCGGCCCCGCCCCCTCCTCTCAACCACCATCCCCTTTTAGGTCCCCCTGCCCGGACCAGCCCGCCTGCAGTCCCAGGAAACGCCTCCTCCAAGTCCCCAGACCCCCACAGCCTGAGATATTCCATCACCTACATGTCTGGACCAAGCAGCGGGAAGAACCGGTACATCGTCGTCATCTACGTGGACGACACGGGGATCTTGCGGTTCGACAGCAACGCCATGAGTCCCAGGCTGGAGCCGAGGGTGCCGTGGATGGAGCAGCCGTGGGTGGAGCAGGAGGGCGCACAGTTTTGGGAGGAGCAGACGCGGGAGATCAAGCACAAGGAACAGTGGAGCAGAGCGAACTTGAACAAACTGCGCGCCCACTACAACCAGAGCGAGGACGGTGAGCCACGTGTGCCTGTGTCCGGGCACCACCCCCACAGCCACGCACAGGTTGCTGTGAGTTTCTGGGTAGAGCCTTACTCGGAGGCGGCTGGCGGGAAGCTGCTAGTGGGCCGGTGCTGACATAGGGGCGGGGTCAGTGTCACACACCTTCCAGGAAATGACCGGCTGCGTAGCGGGGTCCGACAGGCGCTTCTTCGGTGGGTACAGTCAGTTCGCCTACGATGGTACCGACTATGTCGCCCTGAACCCAGACCAACGATTGTGGACTGCTGCTGCAGGGATCAGCTGGAGCAACGTTGTGCGGGTCCCTGACGCAGACGTCCAAACGGTCTTCCTGGAGGACACGTGCGTGGACCGGCTCTACCTGCTCCTGGAGAAGGGGAAGGACACGCTGCTCAGAGCAGGTACCAGGGCGCGGGCCTCACCCAGGAGGGTATCTGTGGGCCTGGGCAGCTTCCTACAAGGAGAGGAGGAAAATGGGACAGTGTCAGAATGTTCCTCCTGCGGGGGAGAGCGGAGAGTCTCCCAGGTGTCCTTGTTCTGTGACTCACCAGTGGGCCCAGCTTTCTCTAAAGGACACCAAGGGACCCAGCCTCTCCCTGAAACACCCCACAGTGGTTCCCTCACACCCTGCAGCACCTGGTGCATCAGGACACTCTCCCTGGTTCTCCCACTGAGACCATCTCTGCAGGCCTAACTCAGGCCTTTCTGAGTCACCAGCCTCCACCTGAGTCTGTGTTTCCCCCTAGAGAACTGCACACTCCTACCCTAGGTTCTCACCCTGATTCTGGAACTTTCCAAGAAATAGGACATTATCCCAGATGCCTCTGTCCAGGCTGGTGTCTGGGTGTTGCTCTTCCTTCCCCACCCCAGCTGTCCTGTCCACTCTCAGGGTGGTCACATGAGCACTGCTGGAGTGTCCCCTGACCATGCAAAAGTTTCTGAATTTTCTCACTGTCTCCTCAGACCCTCCAAAAACACTCCTGACCCACCACCCCATTTCTGACCATGAGGTCACCCTGAGGTGCTGGGCCCTGGCCTTCTATCCTGCGGACATCACCCTGACCTGGCAGTGTGAAGGGGAGGACCTGACCCAGGACATGGAGCTTGTGGACACCAGGCCTGCAGGGGACGGGACCTTCCAGAAGTGGGCAGCTGTGGCCGTGCTCCCTGGAGAGGAGCAGAGATACACATGCCATGTGCAGCACCCGGGGCTGCCTGAGCCCCTGACCCTGAGATGGGGTGAGGAGGGGGTGTGGGCAAAGAACCTCTCCTCAGGGTGTCCCTGAGCAGGGTCAGGACTCAGGCCTGAGGTTGACCTCTCACCTTCCCCTCACAGACCCCTCTCCTCAGACCACCATCACCATCATGGTCATCGCTGCTGCCCTGGGTCTCCTTGGAGCCGTGGTCACTGGAGCTGTGCTGTGGAGGAGGAAGTGCTCAGGTGGGCAAGGGGTGGGGCTGAGTTCCCTGTCCCCCTGGGGGTCAAGCCCAGGTGGAAGTGTGCTCTGCCTCCTTAATGGGCATCCTGTCCCCACACGGGTGCTTGTCCATCTGGGGCCTATTTCCTAACACTGAGTCTTTGAGGCCCTTGGGAAAGTGAGGGACACATTTATCACCTGATGGTTCTAGTGATGGGGACTAATCCCAGCTGTCAGAAGTCAGAAGGGAAGGTCCTTCCGAACCTTTGGACAGACCTCCAGAGGGGTATTACATCCAGTCCCAGAACACATACTTTCCCTGTGCTTCCTGATTCTACCCTGGGTGTTCAATCACAGTTCTAAAACCTTCCCTGTGCTTCAAGAGTGTGGGGTTCCTTTAGGAACACAGGACCCAGCCTTTCCCCTGACTTCTCACAGAGTGTTTTCTTCCCACAGACAGAAGCAGGGAGAGATACACTCAGGCTGCCTGTAAGTCTGGGTGTTGGGGAGGTGACATCTGGGACCCTTGGGAGAGTGTGGGCTGGAGTCTGTGAGGGTGGCTCCCTGACCCTGTAGCTCTGCTGTTGTGTCTTCCCCAGGCAGCGACAGCGCCCAGGGCTCTGATGTCTCTCACAGCTCCTGATGGTGAGTGAGACCCTGAGGCAGGGAGTGGGGGGCACTGGGACCAAGGAGCACAGTTGCGTTTTCGGAACTCTCAGAGTGGGACACTCTGAGCATGTGGTGGGCCAGGGGAGAATGTGCCACTTCTGAGACTGACCTGAGTTTGTTCATGACAACTTTCTTTCCCAGCGTGACAGAGCTTTCTAGGGGATTTGGTGCTAAAACAGTCACTGCAGCCTCCTCTTGGGACTTTAAGGATCCCTGACTGCTGTTTCTGCACCAGCATTGGAACGACGTCTGCATCCTTATCAGCATCAGTGAGGAGCTGGTCACCAGGCCACTCTCCCCACAGGGACCTGCATCATCTCCCCTGGGGACTGTCCTGTCCTAGCTGAGATGGGGTGAGACCATCCCCATCCTGCTCATTCCTCAGCTGGGTCATCTTTGTTGCTCTTTTGTCCTCACCACTTCAGGAGAACCTTGTCCCACCAGGACCTGGGATCCCAGGGACTAGAGTGTCACCCAGCTCTTGTCCTGGCTCCAGGACTGTGCTCAGTGAGGGCTTCCTGTGGCTGCGTCAGCTTGGGCTCCAGCTGGGGCTGGCCCCTCAGCCCCTACCTTTTGTATATTTGTTGTTTTTGTAGGTATTGTACCTATCCTTGTTTTTTTTTATTATTATTATTCGGGTGTTTTTTATTAAATTATTAGGGGTTTTTTTTACTGTTGTTCAATTACTGGCTTCTCAGTTTTCCCCACTGCTCTCCCGTTCCACCCATACCTCCTAAGTTATTACAGTACAATTTTTTATTAAGTTTATTGCAGTTGGAGGATCATCCCAATAGGCCAAGACTGCAGGTTTGACCCCTTGTCAGGAGCCATACAAAGTCAACCAATGACTGTATGAGTAAGTGGGACGACCAACCGACATCTCCCTCCGACTCTCTGAAAACAAATTGCTTTTTGAAAAAGAAATTGTAGCCCCACACAGGACGGGGGTCAGAGGTGGGGCCCTGGCAGGTGCTCAGACCAGGAGGGCAGGGCTGTGGTGAGCAGGCTGGGAAATGGCTGCAGAGAGTGCCCTGGCCCTTCCCCCATGGGAGGCCTCTGTCCCCCACCCCTGTGCTCCCCTGTCCAGGGCCCTTTCCCCACTCCCGTGTTCCTCCACCCAGGACCAGCTCAGCCAGTGAGACCATGCGGTCCTCCTGGGAGGTGGGAACGACAGCCCGGCAGCTGGGCGCACCTGTGCAGAGTTACCCACAGTGCACTTCAGCCTCAGGTCCATCCCTGCTGGGGCACATATACATACTTGCACAAAAATATGTATATAAACACACTGCTGTTACTTCAAACATATTGCTAAAAGATAAGTATTTCTACTTGCTCCTTTTTCCGTTTAATTTTCTTAAATCTTCATCTGAGTGTTGTTTTCCTCCCACTGTTTATAGAGACAGAAGAAGGAAAAGAGAAACATCCATGTGAGAGACCAGTTACCTCGGGCAAGTGTCCCAATTAGGACTTGAACCCGCAACCTTGGCCTATCGGGATGATGCTCTAACCAGCTGAGCTACCTGACAAGGGCAAAACATTCTCATAGTAGGAACTCTAAGGGTGTGTGTGTGGGGGCGGAGGGGGCGGTGTACAGGGTTTTGTGTGTGTGTCCCCTGCCACACACTCAGGCTGGGGACCTGGTGGTATCAAACTGTCTTCATGAGCCAGACAGTACACATGTCAGGCACTAGGGACCACACCGTCTGTGCCACCTGCTTAGGGCTGCCTCTGTAGCCACAGGTGTGGCTGCGTCCCCATCAGCTTTGTTTGGGGAATTGAGCAGCCAGCCCACCGGCCGCTGTGCTGACTCGGGTGGGGATGTCCATTCCAGGACCTGCCGTGGTTTGTCCTCGGCACCAGGAAGGATGAGTTGCAGACTGGAAGCATGAAACGCGTGCCAGTCCCACTCGGTGGGACGGGCGGCAACACTAAGGGACCAACCAGGGACGGATGGTCCTCTGCAGAGCGCAGCAAGCCTGGAGAGAAGCCAGCGTTTCTGGTGAGGGAGGCCTGAGGCCAAGGCTGGCTGAGAGGTGTGGTGCATGTCGGAGTGGATTCGTGACAAGAACCTGCAGCTGGGCATCACTGAGAAAACACACGCGGGCGAGGCCACCCTAGAGCACGTGTGAGCTCATGTGTGGCGTCCAGAGCCTGGGAGACTCGGCCCAAGCCCTGGCCGGGCCGCGGCCTCTGCTGACCCCTGCTGGCCGTCAACTGCACCTGCCTCCTGGCCCCAGACCCCAAACTCCGGAGGGAACCAGAGCCCTGCAGCTGGGCCCGCACGCAGGGAGGCCCTCCCTGGGCTAGCGCCTGTCCACTCCTGCCATCTGGACACAGAGACCCTGGTCAGAAACACCCACACGACCCTCCCCGACACCCACAAAGGGCCCAAGCCCTACCATCTGACCCGTGGGGGCACGAAGACTGCTCGGAAGGAAAACAGGAGGCGCATGTAGTAAATAGGAGTGACCACAAGTGAGAGGCGCCCTCCCACCCACATCCAGGGGCAGGCGGGCCCCTACATCCCGGGTGTTAGGCTCATAGGTGAGGGGACTCTTAAATGACGGCTCCCCAGGAGAAGTGGTAGCTAGAATGTTCCGCAATGACTGCAGGAGACATGAGACTTTTGGAGCCGAGAAGCCCAGGACAGGATGCCAATCAAGCCCAACGTACACACCCTGCCACTGGGGTCCTTCTCGTCCCCTTCCCCACCCTGACGGGCATGTGACAAAGGCGGATGCTGAGGGAAGTCTCGGACCCAGACCTTCTGCTAGAGTAAAGCACCGCACGTTTTTACTGCCTTCACTGCCTTTACTGCCTGGGGTGGCTGCCTTTCTTCATTGACTTTAGAGACAGAGCTGCACCCCTGGGACACGGGAGGACGCTCCAGCCAAGCTAGGTTGGAGGCATGAGCTCTGTTGGTGTGGAGGGCCCTCTCCCTTCCTCCTGCCCACGCTAAGCATCTCCTAACCTACCCCCTCCCCAGAGACCCCATCTCCTGGGCAGGCCCAGGAGACTGTCCCAGCACCTGAGCCCTGGACCAGCTGACCCCCATGGCTCCACATCCCTGGCCCGGTACAGCCCACCAGCCAATTCCGTCCAGCCAGCCGGAACCACCTTCCAACCACCCTGACCTGCAGGAGGGAGCCCTCTTGCTGCTACCCCTCAGGGGCCAGGACCCAAGAGCTGTTCTGAGGGTGACATGCACTCCCTCATGGTGTTCAGCATGGAGGATGGTCAGCACAGGCCCCCCAGACAGCTCAGCTGCTCCCTCTGGACTGCAACTCACTTGGTCTGTACCTGCCTGTCCCTTCCTCACCTGTGCCCAGAGTGTCTCCTGGGCAAGAACAAAGGCTGGCTGACCACCGGGTGCCTGGACTGGCAGCCACCCGGGCAGGGCTGGGGTGCCCCTCACCCCACACAGCTCACCCCCAGTCTGGCTGTAGAAGCGTCGGGAAATCAGGGATTCTGAGAAAGCGGTGCTGCCCCACACCCTGGGTCCCCAACGTGAAGGGTCACCAGAGTCACGGAGGGGCACTCCGGGAGCCACACCCATGAGAATTGCCATTTATTCCCGAAGTTGCCAAAATCACTAAGGACTCACCGAGGGAGTGAGGGGAGGAGGCTCAAACACTGATTGAGGGCCAGTCAGGAATGGGAGGGGGCGGGGTGCAGCTGTCCCTCCCTTTCTAATGCCACGGGAAGAGGTCCTCCCCTGACGGGCACGCTCCCCACCCCCACGTCCAGTTTCTCGGGGAGGTGAGGCAGTGGGGAGGCGGGAAGAGGTGTAGTGTGAGTGGCCCCGGGAGGGAGGGCACGGGTGCCGCTTCACATGCACTCACAACACTGGTGTCCCAGGCAGCGGGAGCCGGGCGGGCCAGCCCCCTCCCGCACCGGCTTATAGGAGGAAGGGGTTAGTGTTGGGGGCCGGTGGTCCCGGGGGCATCATGGGGGGCAGGCCTGGACCTCCGCCCAGAGGAGAGATGTACGTCGGTGGGGCCCCCGGTCCTGGGGGCCCCGGGCTGAGCCGGAGCTGATTCAGGGTGAGCGTCGCAGGAGGTGCTGGCTGGAAGGGGTTGGTGACGGAGGGGCCGGTGGCCGGGGCTCCTGCAGGAAAGAAGAGAACACAGGCGCACGGTGCAAAGTCAAGGGTCTGCCCAGGCAGGAGCCCAGTGGTGGGAGCAGCGGCCCTGCTCTGCCCCGGAGGCCACACTCACCGCTTGGCAGGAAGGGGTTGGAGGCCTTGGCTCCTGGCAACGTGGGGCCCGGCCGGGTCACCAGCGAGTCCAGGTCAACTAGGGCTGCGTTGGGCCCCAGGAATGACTCCGGTGTCTTCCGTGTGGGTGGTGTGGGGGTTGGGGCAGCTGCGGGCGGGGGGCTCCCCACGGCCTCGGCCAGAGAGCCCCCGACCCCGCTCATGTCGAAGGCCCCAGGGCTGCGGGCAGGCACCTCCCCGGCCAGCAGCTGCAGCTCCCCTGGAAGGACAGAGGGGCCCATGGCGGAGGGGCAGAGCCCGAGGGGATCCACGGCGGAGGGGCGGAGCCTGAGAGTAAAGGCAGGACACCAGGAGACGCCTCCACAGCCACCTCCTTGCTTACACCCACACAAAAGTGCAAAGTGGGGAGAACTGCAGATAACATGTCAGTTTGAGGTCCGAGTTATTTTTTGTAAAAAGTTGATTTAAGGGACCTGACCAGTGTTGCTCAGTGGATTGAGCACCGGCCCGCAAACCAAAGGGTCGCAGGTTCCATCCTGTGGGGGGCACAGGGTCAGGATGTACACTCAGCTCCCCCAGGGCCAGCCTCCTGCCCTGCCCTCCTCAGGAATCAGGGGATCTGAGTCCTCCCCGTCAGGCAGGGCACATGCCTGGGTTGCAAGGTAACCAGTAAAGGGGTGTGTGAGAGGCAACCACACACTGATGTTTCTCTCCCTCTTTTTTCCTGTCCCCTCTCTGAAAATAAATAAGTAAAAGTCTTTAAAAATCCCATGTAATGCTTGAACGTGCACACGTTGGCACGAACAGAAGGCCTGGGGGCGTGTAGACTGCAGGCTGCACAGGGCTCTGAGGGCACCCTGGACTCGGGAGCCACCCCTGCCTGCAAGGGGCCCGTGGGCCCCAGGTGTCTGCTCACATAAAAGTCTGATTCCCTGGGAGAGAGGACAATGACAGGGACCAAAGGGGACATCTTGGGAAAACTGACACCCAAGTCTCCTGGTAAGAGGCTCCGATAAGAGCCCCTGCCATGCCAGAGACAAACCCGAACAAGGGGGGACCGTCCCCAGAAAGCCAGGCTGCCTCTGCCAGGCAGGCAGGTGCTAGGGCCCCAGGAGGGGACGTGCACAGGTCAGGAAAGACAGCACTGTCCCTGCGGTCACCACAGCAGCTGGCTCCATACGGAAGCCTCTGGAGGGGGTGGTCCAGGGTCCAGGGAGGTCAGAGGTCAGCATTTGGGAAAGTTCAAGAAAGGAACTTACTTATGCCATATTTGTGATTCTTCTCTAAATCTGAAATTATTTCAAAACAAAGTTGAAATCTCTTTTTGAAGATGGGGCAATGACCAGTTACGCCTCAATAAAGCTACTTTTGAAGAAACCAAGTGCTGGGCCTGACCCAGGGTGCACTCGCTCACACTGCAGCTCTCTGGGACACGGGCAACGGGCACTGGGGGGAGTGGGGGGCGCTCACCTGTGCTGCTTCCCGAGGTCGGCAGGGCTGTGCGCAGTCGGTCGAAGTCAGAGAACTCGTCAGGCTCCGCGTCAAACCCCCCGACCACTGTGGGGGGCACAGGGTCAGGATGTACACTCAGCTCCCCCAGGGCCAGCCTCCTGCCCTGCCCTCCTCAGGAATCAGGGGATCTGAGTCCTCACTGGCAACTCTGCCCCTCACCCAGCACCCACCCAGTACCTGCAGTGCCATTAGTGCTGGGCTTGGCAGGTGACCCCCCCCAGGGGTCCGAGAAGGCTGGGGCCGGGGCCCAGGGATCAGAGGCTGGGGGTCCACCGACCAGGACCCCACCTGGGTGAGAAAGAAGGCACGTAAGGAGCTAGGGCCCACCCCCGGCAGATGGGGCTCTGCTGCCTCTGAACAAGCCCCCTCCAGGTCTGTGCCCCTTATTACCCCTCTATGCCCCAGACCCTGCCCCCCACCTCATCAAGTTCACACTGTCCCGCCAGGGCGAGCGCCTCCCACAAGGTCACCAGATCTGTCATCCAATGGCATCCAGCCCCCACCCCAGGCTCCCCACACTGCACTGTCGCATCTGGACTGTCCCTGGACACAAGGCCGCACTCACCGTCTGAGCTCCCCCATGGGTCAGGGGTGGGCCCCTCTCCGGCCGCAGGGGCCTGGGTCCCCCCCCACGGGTCCACAGAAGGCCCTGCTGGAGCGGCAGGCCTCCAAGGGTCCCCGGAGGCCGGCGTCGGGGCTGGACCACCCCATGGATCAGCAGCTGGAGGCGCGGGGGGTCCCCCCCAGGGGTCTGAGGTGGAGGTAGCCGCGGGGATGGCAGCAGCCACAGGTGCTGGCCCCCCCCACGGGTCCGAGGCTGCTGGAGGAGCAGGGGCCGTGAAGACATCAGCAAGGTCCATCAGGGACGACTGCAGAGAAAGGGCGTGGGGTGAGCCGGCCAGCGAGGACAGATGGACGGGGGCACAGCGCAGGAAGGGGGAGTGGGAGCCCTGGGGAAGCGGGGCTCGACCAGAAGGTTCATTCCTGGCACCCCAGAGTCCAGCCCCCCGCCCTACCTGCACCCTCACCCCTCCACCATCCCCCATGCCCACCACAGGCCCTGAACAGAGGAGGATGAGGGCCAAAGACAACCATGCAGGGCCGTCCCCACACCCTCCAGGAAGCCCCACTGAGGGGCAGCCAAGTCGGCTTGGGGGCCCAGGTCACCCTGAGTATGCCTGGCCCGGAGCCCAGCACACGGCCCACATAGCTGCACGCCCCAGGCTCCCCAGTGCTGCACGCGCACCCAGGCACACCCATGCACACCACTTCCCTGCATCCTGGATGAACCCAGTTGATCAGAACCCTATCTCTGTGCATGTGGAAGTGAGCCCCCCACCCTCCTCAGGATAAAGGAGAGCAGTGGGGGCACCAGGGGCCATCTTCCCCCAGGGTCCTGATGAGCCACATGCGGCACTGTTTGGCCACACCGGCTATGAGCTACGTGTTACTGCCCACTGAGATGGGGTCCAGTCCCCACCCTGGGCATGTGGCCCGGCCTTGTGACCTGCAGCTGCGTGTGGGGGGACGGCCCTGCTGTGGAGACACTTCGGACCCCAACAGCAACCAGTGCAAGGCTGCAGGGAGGGAGGCTGGAGGGCAAGGCCAGCTTGGACGCCTGCCCCTAGGACAGGAGCTCAGAGGGAGCCCACGCTCACCTGCCCCCACACTCACCTCCCCCCCCACACTCACCTCCTCCTGGCCAGCAGTCTCCCGCTTACTCTCCTCTATGGCCATCTGCAACCTCAGGTCATCCCCGCGGCGGATCCGCTCTTCCTGTTTAGGCCGCAAAGACAGGCAGTGGAGGGGCGTCAGAGTAGAAGCGAGAGGACAGCCCAAGACCCCCCCACCCCCCACCAACAAAGGCAGCTGAAAATTAAAATGGGATGCAGACGATGTGTGGGGTGGGGTGGGACACAGGGTCACAGGCTGGGGAACGAGGACACTGCTGGAACAGGCTGGGAAGCACAGGTCTGCACTGGGGGAACTAAGGGAGCCCGGGCTGTGGTGGGGGGATGGGAGGCCCTTGCTCCTGCAGGAGCAGCCGGCGGGCAGCTGCTTCACACCACGGCTGTCTCCTGGGGTCCGGCATCTGGCTGACACAAGGTCTGCAGGTGCAAACACTGCGGGGTAAACGTATCAACTGGGACAGGGACGGTGGGGTGGGGGCCCTTCTGAAGATTCAAGGAGGCGGGACCTGGGGAAAAGTCCCGGGGAGCCTGCGGGGTGGGGAGTCTGCTCTGACCTTGTCATGCTCCTCGCGGCTCAAACTAAGGGCCAGCTGGAGCTGGACGTCGTCCTCAGGGCCACAGGACGGGGGCTGGGGGAGAGAGCATGTGAGGGGACGGGGTAGGGGTGGCAGGCCAGAGGGGAGAGAGAGAGGGGGGCAGAGACACACAAAGACAGACAGAGACAGAGAGCCAGGGTCAGACAGGGCCAAAGACAGAGGAACGGTCCCCAAACTGGAGAGGGGTGGGCAGAGACGGACAGGACCAGCATGGGGGTGGGGGGAGGGCGAGTCCCAGGACAGCACAGCACAGAGGCAGACGACAGGGCCGGGAGTGAGCAGAGACAGACCGGGGGACGGGCAGGCCTCTGAGAGAGGCGGCGGGTGCTGGGCAGAGGGCGAGGCATGGAGATGGGATGGCAGAACGAAAGTTGAACCCTGCCACACCC